CTTTGTACTTTATAGCAATCATGGACGCCTTATTCCGGACGCGACGGGTCGACGACGCTTTTTTGAGGCATTCCGAGTGGGGCCGAAAGCTTGGAGCGCCGTCTATGATAGCTATTGGTCAGTTTTTTTGGGCTTGTTTTGGTCAGTCCTTGGAACTCAAAAGCTGCAGTTTTCGACATGCCGGGCCTTTAAGCTCGAAGAAATTGTTTTCAGCCTGGATCCAATCAATTCCGCTCGCCATCTTCGTGATTTTGCCCCATTCTCTGGCGCTGCTTACCGGGCCCTCTACTTCATTGGCAATTATTGTGGCATTTGTGGCATCTACATTTACAGGTAGGAGAGAGAGCGAGTAGGGGAGTGAGAGATAGGGAGAGAGAGTGAGAGAGAGCGAGAGCGAGAGAGAGCGTGACGGAGATAAAGCATTTTTCAGTCCTCCACCTGGCCGAACTCTCCTGTGCGGTACCTAAAAACTGTTCCGCCTACCACTATGCTTTTGCAGCGATTGGCGAGCTGCCAGCATACTTACTAGGGCAAGTTTTTGAGCTTTTAAAGGGACAGGGAAGGTAGGAATCTATAAGCTAGAAAAACTCTGCCTTCAATTGACAATTTCACCTCAATCATAATTTTGAAGATGGATCCGCCTCACCCAAGCGGCTACCGTATCCGCGCTGCTGTGCCACGCCTGGAGCGAGCATTTGGTACGTTCGGGCAGTGAATGCCGTCCAAAAAAACTTGAATTTCATTACTTGGAGCTTTCCCATTATCGGGGGAATCTGAATAAAATCGAGTTTTTTTATTTATGGAGACCCAATTTTTTTTAATATAAACAGGTAAGCGTTACTAAATTTATCTTTGCGATTCCTGAACATAAAAACTTTCGCAATTTTTTATAAATATTGCAAAAATATCTACTTTTATGCGAAAATCCCGGATTTTCGACGATTTTCGGAAAAATTTTAATGAAATTTTCGTATAGTTTTTTGGTTGAAGTGTAGTCAAAAATTTAGGAACGATGAAGAAAGATCAGCGGAAAAGAAGAAAGAGAAAAAATTTGGCAAATTCGGCTTTTTTCTTTCGAAATTTTGATTCCGATTTTTGAAAATTTCTGGCCACAATTTCGCTTTTTCTAGAATCTACTAACCGGCGGAGCGCTCTACCCGGTCGCACTCGTCGAAATGAGCCACCTGCCAAGGAACGGCTCGGCCCTTGCCCAAGTCTTTGTCGAGAAGTTTGACGTCTCGTCGGTGGTCGGGATGTGGCTCTGTATTCCGCTGCTTTTCTGCTCACTTACGGTGCGGTTACTGTAGATTTTGTAGATGTTGTCTAGAGTTTGTAAAGTAGATGATTCTACGATCATTTTTAATCATAAAAAGCTATATTAGGTGCTGGGTACGGTATCGGTGAGCCTGATGGTGGTGTGCTCGCTGGTGCTCTCCTCGTGTGCCCTCGTCGCCTTCTTCCACGCCGACACGCACAACTGGCTGATGGCCGAGTTTTTCACCAATGGCGCGCAAGGGGTGGGTTTTTGAGGAAGGCAGCAGAAAAAGCATGACAAACTGGGGCTCAACCTGTTGATTAAAATTTGAAAAAACTATTAAACCGCCGGATCCCTTTAAATATCGACCTGCACTTTCCATGCTGATACCCATTTTCTAGCCTATAAATCGGGATTTTAGGACGTAAATTTTTAGAAAAAAACATTTTTAAGCACGTCACGTGAAAGAGCGTAAAATTTTGAACCAGAATATCCATTCAAAAATGGAAATAAGGCAGGCAAAAAGTCGGCTTTACAAACATTTTCAGCTCCTCCAATCCAGCTCGTTATTCCTGCTACTACCGTTCGGAATCGATGCACTATCTTCGCTACTAGAAGAGACATCACATCCACGAAAAAAGGTGAGGAAGAGAGCGAGAGAGAGAGAGAGAGAGAGAGAGAGAGAGAGAGAGAGAGGGAGAGAGACTCCAACGACTACAAATTCCAGATCGGCACGATGTTCCCCCTCCTCTCCGTCGGCTTGTCGTTGATCGTCTTCATCTTCTCAACCGTCGTTTCCCTGACGATACGCCCTGACGCGCTACGCAGCGCGGCGATACTTCCGGAACTGTTTAGATTGGCGAACGTACCATCTGCTAGGTGAGCCAGAAGCAAAGAATCTCTGCTAGCCCGCCCTTTCTTAAAGGGTCTCTGCTAGCATGCCCTTGCCTAAAGAATATCTGCTAGCCTGCCCTTTCCTAAAGAATCTCTGCTAGCCTGACCTTTCCTCAAAACCAACAATTCCAATACTATTTTAGACCCGAACATGGCGAGGGATTTTTGAGAATACGGTAAATACACAAAAAAATAATTTTGAAGGACTTTCTAACCATAACGCTGATTTTCTAACATTTTCAGTGTTTTTATGTACGGTCCAGTACTGATTGCAATAATAGAGCGATATGGAAACTCAGAAAAAAAACTGTTTCAGCTACCTGATGGCAGTGTGCGCATTTTGCGGGCTTTCCGGCAGTCTGCTCGTCTCTTTTTTGCCGGGCTCGAGGATGCTGTCTCAGCTGACAAATGTAAATTTTGAGAATTTCGGCAGCTCTCGCTGTTTCTCTCCCTTTCTCTCCCTCTCTCTCTCTCTCGCTCTCGCTCTCCCGCTCTCTAGTTATTTCATCTTTTCATTACTGTAGATATTAAGGCGTTTAGGACCGGCTCCTCCCTCTCCCGAGCGATTCGGCAAGGCGCCCCTACACGGCTACGCTACTGTACGCAGTCCAGGTTTTCGTCTTCCTCTGGCTCGACCAAAAAGTGCTGCTCGGTTCCGCGGCATTCCTGACGACGCTGAGGGCTATTGCTATTGTTGGTTTTTGATTGAGCCAAAGCAGGCTAGCAGAGATTCTTTAGGAAAGAGCAGGCTAGCAGAGATCATTTGCTATTTTCAGATCTCCCTCACCCAGATTCAGCACTATTTACCCGAGCCGATCGGCGTCCCGCACGAGACGACACATTATCGAAAGATTCGGGTAGGAGTGGAGCGAGAGAGAGAGAGGCAGAGAGAGAGAGAGAGAGAGCGAGCGAAAGCTGCATTTTCTAGCCCTCCGTCGGCAGCACTTCAGTGGCAATCTCGAACTCATACTCGTCCTCCACCTCGGAAAATGTTGCTCTCCAGATGAAGGTGGCAAAAAGCGAGACTGAAAAGTATCAAAAACGGCTGGAGAAGGTAGATTTTTGGCTTCACTGGCCCTTTAAGACGCAAATCCTTTAGAGAATGGGCAGCGAGGCTTCAGAATTGTTGGCCGTTCCGAGATCTGTATCGCAGTATCACACCATTGGAGGGGTAGGCTGGCAGAGATTCTTTAGGAGAGGGCAGGCCAACAGCGATCGCTCAGGAAAATACCCTTCCCTTTCAGCCTCCCCGCGAGAACTCAATCTCCTCATTCGCAGCCGTCAATAAGGGCCATAATTGTGTGGAAGAGGCCTGTTCTCATACTGGATCTCAAGGTAAGGCAGGCAGGCTAGCAGCGATTTTTTGGGAAATCTGGGAGATTTTTGCTTCAGGGTCCGGCCGAGTTCATCTTTACGCTAGAATCGACCCGGATATTCCGAATGTTTCCGTGTTCAACTCGAAAAACGCGAATCGACAGTATGCACCGGTAAGCTAGCAGAGATTCTTTAGGAAAGGGCAGGCTAGCAGAGATTCTTTAGGACAGGGCAGGCTAGCAGGGATTCTTTAGGAAAGGGCAGGCTAGCAGAGATTCTTTAGGAAAGGGCAGGCTAGCAGATATTCTTTAGGAAAGGGTAGGCTAGCAGAGATTCTTTAGGAAGGGCAGCTTGCAAACATTTCCCAATTCCAGATCGATCCTATGGACACCCATATTTTTGCCTTAAAAGTGCTAATTCTCTTTTTGACGCTTTCTACGTTACTTTCGCTCGTTTTTACGACACTTGGCAGGATACATGTGAGTTGGAAAAGGCAAAAGAATCAAAAAATATTAACATTTAGGTATCGAGCATCGTCTTGCTATTTATGTTATTTTCACTACTGGTTCTTACGCTATTTATGGGATTGAGATTGGTGGGTTGAGAGAGCGGCGAGAGGGAGAGAGTTGGAGAGAGAAAGAGAGCTAGAAAGAGAGAGAAAGAGAGAGAAAGATAGAGAAAGAGAGAGAGAGAGAGGGAGATAGTGAGAAAGATACAGGGCGATAGAGAAAGAGAGAGAGAGAGAGAGAGAGAGAGAGAGGGAGAGAGAAGAAAAGAGAGAGATCGAAAATTTCAGCCCACGAACGACCTGGTCTGCCGTCGTCAATCTTCAACGCCATGTTTCCCATATTCCACCTACGGGGCCCTATTTCTTCTCTGTACACTTCTTGGGTCCACTACTGCCAGAATATTAGCCGTTTCCACGTCTTGGCTAGTTTTTGGTAAGGGTTTACGAGTTTTAAAGGTACCGGGAAGGCAAAATCATGGTTTTCTAGACGTTCTCACTAGGTTTGGGAGTTTACCAACTCTGATCTAGACGCTTGAGACATTTTGGGGGAGTACTATAATCGGCAGTGCAAAATTTTTTTCCAGGTCTCCTACTGTATTTCGGTTACGGTTTCCGGCACAGTACGGAACGATACTCGGGTCCGTGTCTGATCCTACAGAATGAGGACGCAAGGAGAGCATCCGAGGAGCAGCAATGCGAACGGATAGTCGAGGACTACAGTTCTGTGGCCAATACGATATCGGAATAAAGATTTTGAGGCTAAATTTGCTCCCTTTCTCTCTCTTTTCTCTTTCTCTCGCTCTCTCTATCTCGCTCGCTCTGTATCTCCCTCTCTCTGTGTCTCTCGCTCTCTGCCTCGCTCTCTGTCTCTGGGTCTCTCTGTCTCTCTCGCTCTCCGCCTCGCCCTTTGTCTCTGGCTCTCTCTCTCTCTAGCTCTTGCCAACTCGAAATCTCAGCAGCCATCTTTATTCAGCACATCTCACAAAAACATTTTCAGGGATTTTAAAGGGACAATGCCAGCAAGGCTTAAGCCAATGGATTTGGGTGTTGGATTTGCTCGAGCTGCTCCTCGCTCATATGTTGATGAAGAAGCCGGTGGGATTTAAGCATCGCCGTCTCCCAGCACGACTCCGAGCAGAAACGGCATTGGAACACCTCCGGAACCTTGTGCCGGCCGGCAGCATAGCAGTCGCGGCACACCTGAAAAATCGGGCTTAAACGGGTGGGGAAGGATCTAGCAGAGATTCCTTAGGGAAGGGCAGGCTAGCAGGGATACTTTAGGAAAGGGTAGGATAGCGGAGATTCTTTAGGAAAGGGCAGGCTAGCAGAGATTCTTTAGGAAAGGGCAGGCTAGCAGAGATTCCTTAGGAAAGGTCAGGCTAGCAGAGATTCTTTAGGAAAGGGCAGGCTAGCAGAGATTCCTTAGGAAAGGTCAGGCTAGCAGAGATTCTTTAGGAAAGAGCAGGCTAGAAGCTTCAAGGTGGAAAGCTCGTATTTTCGAAACTCCAAGGATCTCTGCTAGCCTGTTGGCAACGTGCCAATCCTTTAGGAAAGATCAAATCCGTCTTCACAGCCCCGCCAAATTCACATAAATCCGTTTATAGTCGCCGCCCGTTCACCAAAATTCGATTGCTCATTTTTTTCACTTCCGGTCGACCCTTGCGATTTTCGGAAAGTTCCGCGTAGGGAATAAGCTTCGATGGGTCAAAATGGGGCCGGCTGGCAGAGAATCTTGAGCAACACGCCGGAAACTCACAAATAATCGCTTGTCCTCGCCGCGAGCCTCGCAATTGGCACAGCTGGCGTCACGGGTTGGTGGCTGAAACGAGGTTTTCAGGTGTTAAAGGACGAATTTAGATATTTCTCTCTCTCTCTCTCCCACCTCCTCATCCACTAGGTGCCCATCACACGGGGTGGCCGGGCCAAAACTGTAGACAGGGATCGGGGCTAGCATCGCTTTATCGTACTTTCTGAAAAGATAAATGGTTCGAGAGAGAGCGAGAGAGAGAGATAGAGACCGGGAGAAAGAGAGGGAGAGAAAGAGAGACAGAGAGAGAGAGAGCGCGAGAGTGGGAGGGAGAGAGAGAGCGAGAGCGACAGACAGACAGACAGACAGAGCGAGAGAGAAAGATAGAGAGCGCGAGAGACAGAGAGAAACAGAGAGAGACAGAGACAGAGACAGAGAGAGAGAGAGAGAGAGAGAGACAGGAGAGAGTATCGCAGAGGCCTCAAAAGTGCCCGAAAAAGGGTGCCATTCGAAAACTCTTGCTCAAGTTCATGCTCAAAAAGGCAAACTTGCAGAGATTATTGTCGACGTTTCGCCACCGCCCAATTCCTGTGAGGTCAAGAAAGACAAAGCAACGAATAGCATAACCAAATATCCACGACTAGGAGTCTCCAGCTTGGTGGTGAAGCCGAATCCGGCCATTCCCAGGGAAATGGGATTTCCGCCGGCCGGCCACTGGTCGAAGACATCCCCCAAAAAAGCCCAAACTCGGGAAGGGGGGCCTTACCCGATAAACATCCGCACAAAAAAGAAGTTGAAACGACAAAGAAGGGCGAAGCCGATGGGTCGTCACCAAAAATTTAGGAGGGCGCTTGGGGCGGGTTATTTTTGGACTGCCCCCTTCTCCGGGCTTGTCCTAAAATTGAGACGTGAGGGTTGCAAAATTTGAAGGGGCCGAAGATCTCAAAGATGGGCAGGGATTCTTTGGGAAAGAGTGGCTAGCAGAGTCTTTTTTAGCAAAATACTAGGGGTGAGCCGAAGCCAAGCCGAAGCCAAGCCTAAGCCTAAGCCTAAGCCTAAGCCTAAGCCTAAGCCTAAGCCTAAGCCTAAGCCTAAGCCTAACCTTTCTCGCCCGGTTTTAAAGGACCATTGAAGATAGGATTCGGGTCTTTGTCCTTCGCATAAAACTGTTATGACGAATATGGAATTGGAAAATGGAGTTGAGCACGAGCACCAGGAAAAGCATCTGACGGATAGGCCCAGGAGAGCGACATATTTATATCCGAATCCAGTCACTTCGAGGAAAGAGAGAGAGAGAGAGACAGCGAGAGAGCGAGAAAGCAAGAAAATGCAAAAACAGAGTCCACAAGCACTTTTCAAGCGATGTGTCCCATCGAAAACATCCCAAATCAGCCACCAGATCCGTCAGCCGCCCGTCCAAAAGTCCATTTGAATAATGGGGCATTGTTTTCGAGCGGAACTCGCTGGAAATGCCCTTTTTCTCTCGAAAATCCCCCCGGGGGCTTTCCAGAAAGCGCATAGCCACAAGCAGAAAATCACGTTGTCGGGACCCCGAAAATTTGGTTAGGCAAATTTAGGGCAGCTCCGTATAAACTGACCGCCCTGTTTTCGTGGATGGTTGTGGAACTCTGGTGTGTTGGCCGTGTTTTGCCGGTGGGTTACTGTGGGTTGGATTTTTTCTGATTTTTTTCTGATTGCCGAGAATTGTGCCCGAGGCACTGAGGCATTGCGCCGGGAAGTATTTTGGCACGCAGGGTCAAGGCGTGGCCGGAACAAAACTTGATGAGGCTTCAATTCCGATAAGACGCATTGTCTTTCTTTCTCTCTCTCCCTCACTCTCTCACTCTCTCTCTCTCTCTCTCTCTCTCTCTCTCTTCATTTCTCTATTCCACAATGTAAAATCAATAAATTATTTATTCAACAAGCTTCAAAACGTCATCTTCTCCTTTCTCGGCCCATCGTGGGCCGACTTTATCTGCGAGTTCCGGCGCTCGGCTTCGACGCCTAAATCGGGAGTTTCGGCACAAAGATGAAGCCGAGAAAGCTCAAATTCAATACACAGTGTCAACTACTCGCCCACCAGCTTTCACCAAATCGAAGCGATCCGGCTTGGGGATGTCGTAGTAGACGGTGTCCCGGATGCGCTCCACGTAGTTTTTCAGCTAAAAGAGGTCCCTGGGACTTGCCGGCACGCTCAAAACTCCGACCAAAAATTGAGCCGGTCTCCTCGAAGCCGGGCCATGGGTGGGCTTAGGCTTAAGCTATGTCTTAGGCTTAGAGTAGGCTTAGCTTAGGCTCAGCTTAGGCTTAGACCCAGGCTTAGACTTATGCTTAGGCTTAGGCTTGTAACGCACGTTTTGATGATCATGGTCGAGCAGCTCCTGGATGTGCTGCGGGAATGGCAGGTAGTAGGTGGAGGCGAGGTGGCCGAAGAGAGTGCAGTCGACCTGAGAAAAGATTTATCGCCGTCTCTTCTCTCTCCCTCCCCCTCTGTCTCTGTATCTCGCTCGCTCTCTCTCTCTCTCCCTCTCTCCCTCCTTCTCTCTTTCTCTCTCTAACTCCGACGTACCATCGTCATTCTGCCACCCAATAGAAACGGCTTGTCTCCAAGGAGATCGGCGCACGCCCTCAAGTCGCGTTTCATCACCTAAAACGGACGAAAAGGTTCAGGCTACCGAGCAGTAGCCGACCTCCATCAAGTCGTCGTTCGTCAAGTTCCCTGCTCCGACCATGATTCTGGCTTTCAGCTGGAATGAATCGTGTTTGTAGGTTGTCCATGGGCTTTAGATACTCTCTCTCTCTCTCTCTCTCTCTCTCTCTCTCTCTCTCGCTCTCTCTCTCTCTCTCCTCACCTTATTCGCAAACCGACTGGCCACAAATTTCCCTAAAATCCCAGGCACCTTCAGCCCGGTGACCTCGCGGCTCATGAACGCCTGGTTGTTCAGCATCTTGTCGTTCATTAGCGTGCTGGAAGAGGTACAACCGTTTTAAAGGGACTGTGACAGCTTAGCAAGTCCAAGTTCACTGACTAAAACGTGCTCCCGTCCAGCATACGGTCCACAGCGCGTCCGATAGCGGCATCACGGGGGCTGATGTTTTCCTAAAATCGTAATGGTAGCGAGAGAGAGAGAGAGTGAGAGAGATAGCGTGAGAGTCAGTTCTAGCCTCACCTTCACCCGAAAATGCTTGACCAGCTTGAAGATGATGGCTTGTGACTCGCTGATTCGCTCGCCGTTTAGCTGAACAGATTTAAAGGTTTTCGCGGTCGTTCGCCAACTTCCCAGTCCCTTTAAAGCGCGAAATTTCGAAAAAACCCAAACCTCGATATACGGTAGCTGGCCCTTGTCGGTGTGGTTGGTCCACGATTCTTTGAGCTGAAAAATGAAGCTTGATTTTTAGGAAAGGGCAGGCTAGCAGAGATTCTTTAGGAAAGGGCAGGCTAGCAGAGATTCTTTAGGTAAGGGCAGGCTAGCAGAGATCCTCTAGGAATCGACTTGCCTCATATTTGATGTTGTACAGCCGGAGGAACGTCTCGATCTTCAGGCAAAACGGGGAAAGATTCGGGACAAAGGGGCTTCTCGGGAATTGATGGAGGATCACGAGATCGCGCTCCGGAGCCTTGTCTCCCATTGGAGAGTCTAAAAAAACATCGTTTGTTAAAGTTTAAAGGGATCAACACCACCGTACAGCAATCACAAAACCGCACAATCCGAGACTGAATGGAGCTTGAAAATGGTGATTGTGCTTAGGCTTAGGCTTAAACCTGGGCTTAACCTTGGGCCTTGGCTTAGGCTGAGGCTTAGGCTTGGGCCAAAAACAGGATGGCCACAATACTCCACTGCACTCCAAACTCCAAACTACAAACCACAACCCCGAGCACCAACCATCCGGCTCGCTGAGTTTGACCGTGGCCTCGGTGCGGAAGCGGAGCATCGCGGAATTGGGGGTATTCTAGCGGCTCAGAAGAGAAACGAAAAGCCGAGGAGGACTTCTCCGACAAATAATTCTGGTTTTCAAGTATTTTTGTGGCTAAAAGTGATTCCCCGGGGGTGTGTCACACCGAGTTGGGCCTCGACCGGATATTCATCACCTCGAAGGGGATGAACACACACGCACAGACACACAGACAAACCGACAAGTTTCCCCGATTTTTTGCCCTCCAGGAGGCCCCAGGGGAAACGGGTCGACCCCGGCGGTGTTGGGGCTAGAAATCAACACGTTCTTCTGGGGGCTTCACGGGGCTGGCGCTGGCTCTCTCTCTCTCTCTCTCTCTCTCTCTCTCTCTCTCTCTGAAATCTTGAGAATGCGAACCCCTCAAAAAAATCCTATAAACTGACGAGATTTCTGGGATGGATGGCAACAAAAGATGGGAAGATCGAGCTGAGAATTCGCCATTTTTCTGCCTAGTCGCAACTTCAAAAAATCGTAAAAAAGACAAACGTAATTTTTGAGCTATGCCAGGTAGCACATCGGAATCAGCGTTTCAAGCTGGTTCCGATGAGTTCAGAGCGAAATTCTGACGAGCTCGATTGGCTGAAGCGAATTTTGGAAAAAATCCACTGGGCCCCCCTTTGCTCGAAAACGTCAAAAAGTGATCAATTCAAAAAATTCTAGCAATGAAACCAGGGCCGCCCAGGTTTTGTAGTAAAACTTTTATAGCACCATTTTTCATGCCCTTTCAGATGCAAAATGAATTACATGTTGAAAATGCCCGACCGGCCTCCGAGGTGCCGGGAAAGGTACATGGTAACATGGTAGTCAAGGCCGACCTACAAAAAACCCACAGCAAATTAAAATAAGAAACCAGGAAACTAAACTATTTAAATGACGTGTTTTTCGGAGCTTAGTGGAAAAGCCGAAAAATTTACGGTACCGGAGTTTGAAATGGGCCCTTGGGCCCCAAAACTGCGGCACCTGGCAGGGGCATAAACTGACGTTTCGGCGGGGTTTACGAAGACTAGAGAGATCACAGATCAATCCTTTTTGGAAGATGGTCTAGGGCAACCTAGCAGAGGTTCTTGAAGAAAAGGAAAGGGTGGGCTAGCAGAGATTCCTTACGAAAGGGCAGGCTAGCAAAGATTCTTTAAGAAAGTGGAGGCTAGCTGAGATTCTTTGGGAAGGGTTAGGCTAGCAGAGGTGCTTCACAAAATTCTCTCTCCATTTCTCGTTCCTCGATTTCAAGCTGAATCGCAACTTTTCTGGCACCACCGTAATCCCGTGTACCCTGTAATTTGTCGTACAGCCCGCGACTTAGTGCCCTACGGCTACACGACTTTCCCCCCGAATTCCGGGGGCGATTTTCAGCCTTGGCGCGCGCGTCTGGGGATTATTGTGTGCCCTTGTGGTTTTGGGCGCTTGTACTCTGCCCCTGGGGGCACAAAAGAAGAGAAAGAGAGAGAGAGAGAGAGAGAGAGAGAGAGAGACAGACAGACAGACAGACAGAGAAAGCGAGTAGACGTTAGTAAACCAGTTCATCGGTACACGCGTGTAGTCGCGATGGCACAAATCTTCTAAGCCGCTCCGGCCCCCGCGGGGGGGCTCGGTAGAGCATTTTTTCGACACGGGTGGGTGAAGGTGGAATTTGGAGTGGAAAGTGGGGCTTAAGGTGCTTGGCAGATGGAGAAAATAGCCTCTAAGAATTTCTGCTAGCCTGCGCTTACCTAAAGAATCTTTGCTAGGCTGCCCTTTCCTAAAGAATCTCTGCTAGCCTGCCCTTTCCTAAAGAATCTTTGCTAGCTTGCCCATTCCTAAAGAATCCTAGCCTACCCTTTCCTAAAGTACCTCGGCTAGCCTGCGCCTTTTCCTAAACAAGCTCTGCTAGCCTGCCCTTTCCTAAAGAATCTCTGCTAGCTCACTAATTCACAAGCACATGCCTAGTACGAGTTTTACGACATCTGTGGACCCTAAACAGATACGGTATGCCCTGGGGGCACATTTCCAATCCTGCTCGAACCTGGGCTGACCGGTTCCATTTCCGATTGGCAAATAAGTCGGGGCGGACGCTGGCGGGAGGTTGTAAACGGCTCAGAGGGCAATTTGATTGGACTTGTTCCCGAAATGACGCAGAATTTGATTCACGACAGGTTTTAGAAAACCGATTACGCGATGGAATCCGGTTTTTGGAAGTAAAGCCAGGGCAGGCCAGCAGAGATCATTCAGGAAGGCCTCTCTGGGAGCCACCCGGCGCGGTCCCCCTAGAGGTACTTTCGCATTATCGGGGGATCAACTTTTTGCATAGGTAAGCATTTTTTCTAGTGGAAAGAAAGAAGGGGTTTCTACTTTTTTCTTTACTCTTATGTATGTTTCAAAAATCTAAATATCTTTATCGTTTTTTTCGACGAAAATGTTGCATTTTTGCATTTTTAATAGTTTTTTGGAAAGCTTTTTGTGTCGATAATCGGCGCAACACTGGCAGTTCTCCTTTAGGAATTAGTTACGCTTTCCAACGAGGTATTTGCTAGTTTGCTTGCCGGCGCCGTCCCTTTATAGGCCCCTCCCTAGAATATGCAAATTAGCGTCAATTTTTTCATAGTACGGTCAAGAGGCGGGCTAGCCGAGACCATTTGACAATATGCAAATTACCCCGAGTTGCGTCATCGTACTCCGAACGGACAGGCTAGCAGGGATCTTTTGGGAAATCACGCAATGGCCCCGAATTCTCGAGATGGCGGGCTGGCCAGGGTGTCGAGACCAAGGCGCGGAATATGCAAATTAACCCCAATTCCGTCACAGTACTCTCGACGGCCGTGTCGAGAGTACCGTGACGGAATTCTTCCCACTGCCATTCTAAGCCGAAAATCGTTTTTTCGTCCTCGGCGGCCCGCGGCGATGATTCAGATGCCATTGAGAGAGAGAGTGCGAAAGAGAGAGAGAGAGAGCGAGAGAGAGCGAGAGAGAGCGAGAGACCCGCGCTTGACTGCATGTGTTTGTTGTATTCCGGCGGAACCTGTTGCCCGGGGCAGGCGATTTTGTCCTCGGGCACAAATCCCGGCTGAACCACCCTGTAGGAGGGGAGGGGCTTCAGTGTACTCGGCTACGCTTCTGTACGTCTTTACGTCGTGTCGCGTTGTCTTCAGGCTCCGCCCACTTTTCAGAATCGTCGGCGTCGGGTTGGCAAACCATTCCATTCCATTCCATTCCACTCCGATCCTGTTGACGTGCCGACATCGAGATGTATCGTCTCTTCGTGGCATTCGCCCTATTTGGCGTGTCTTCTGCGGTGGGTAGAGTTGATTTTAAAGGAGTGTTGAAGGCAAAGGTACTAGAGATTTGGCAGTACCGTAGTCATAGACCGTTTTAAAGGACCATTGAGGCCAAAAACTTGATGGATTGGTATGGATTTAGGCTTTAAAGGGCCATTGAAGTCCAAAATCAGCTATGGATTTATGCTTTAAAGGGTTATTGAAGGCAAACAGCTTAGATTTCTTTGATTACTGTGGATTCAGATCCTCTTAAAGGGCCATTGAAGGCAAGATTTTTGCACTATTGTGGTTCAAGACCATTTTAAAGGACTATTGAAGACAATAAACTTTATGAATTACTGTGGATTTCGGCTTTCAAGGGCCATTGAAGCCTAAAATTAGCTATCGATTTGGTCATTAAGGGGCCATTGAAAGCAAAGATATTTGATATAATGGATTGCGGTAGTTTTAGAATCGCTTAAAGGGCAAGAGAAGTCCAATATTTGACTTTGAAAAATGTTGCGAGTTAAAGGACGATTGAAGCTTTTTTCAGTGTGTCGCTAACGGAATTTGCGGCGGAGGCTTGCCGGGCGGTTCTCCCTGCTACGGCGCCGCACCTCCTCCGCCACCGCCTACGGTAGGTCTTTCAGCTTTTAGAAATACGGCTCCGACTCGTTTTCGAGGTCGTAAGCGCTAAACAGTGCCAAAAATAGCCAAAAATAAACACATTAATTTTTAGTGTGGCGGCGGATGCGGACCGGGAATGGCTTGCGGCGTTTATGGATGCTTTAGGTATGTTGGTGAAGGGAGAGAGAGAGAGAGCGGGAGAGATCGGGAGAGAGAGGGAGAGAAAGAGAAAGAGAAAGAGAGAGCCAGAGAAAGCCAGAGAAAGAGAAACTGAAACCACTTGATTTCTTAGGCGTAGCGTCCGCGCCCTCTCCGCAGCCACCTTCACGCCGGAGGGTGCTGTTGAGGTTTTCTTGCCTTTACAGTCCCTTTAAAACTTTTTTTAGGAGATTTCCACTGAACGCGAGGCTCCCGCCATCTTCGGCAAGTCGCGCTTCAACTCGATGAGGAAGGTGGAGAAGCCGGTGCAGGCGCCAGTGGTGAGTTCGGGCAGAGGCAGGCTGGCAGAGATTCTTTAGGAAATCGCAGGCTAGCAGAGATTCGCTAGGAAGGGGCAAGCTAGCATAGATTCCTCAGGAACCCGGCTGACCTAAGCAAGCTAGCACAGACCATTTAGGACCCGAACGCCCTCTTCATGGCCTGCTGCGAGCAGCGAGGCCTGCCGGATGCTTGCCTCCAGAAGTGCACCTTCAACACGTACAGCAAGGAGTCGGTACGGTGGTTTTGGGGCGGATTTTAGGGAATGACAGTAGTACCCTGAGCCACAGTACGACCAAAAAAAACTTTTTTTAGTTGACCCGGATGTACTTCAAGCAGGACGCCTGCCCGCTGGCCGCCTCGGCTGATATTCAGTTCTGTGCTGCTCAGGTGAGTTACGACCTATCTCTCTTGCCCCCTCTTTCTCTCTATCTCTCTCTCTTTCTCTTTAGCTCCCTCTCTCTCGCTCTCTCTCTCCCTCTCTCTACTAAAACCCTCTCTTCAGGGTCGCGATCACCGAGCTTGCTGCGCCCGCAACGGAGTAGCCAATACCCTAGCTGGAGCCAAGGTAAGCGGGATGGCTAGCAGAGATTCTTAGAGGACCTTCCCAGACTTCCAAGTCCCTTTAAACCTCAAAAATGCTTTTTTAGTGTCTCACCTTCTGCGACCAGCGCCCCGGAAACGTGACCCTGCTCGACTACTCGTACGTCTCCTGCTACGAGCGCTTCGAGAACATGAAGAGCTGCTTCTGGTACGACGCCGTCAACCGGTTCAACTAGACTTCCATGCTCCTTAAAAAGTTACATTTTAATTTCAGTATTTTGTTCCCTGAACTTGCTATTTTGTGATCTCACCCCGAAAAATCGAAAAATCTATACTTCGTAGCCCCCATTAACCACCTGTAGTTCGAATTTTGGTATAAATTATTTGACACGAGTGAGCTATAAACTACAAAAATGAAGGCAAGCTGGCAGAGGTTATTTGGGAATCTCTCTCTTCTCTCGCTCTGTAACTTTCTCGCTCTCGGTCTCTCTCTCTCTCTCTCTCTCTCTCTCTCTATCTCTCTCGCGCTGTCACTATCTCACTCTCGCTCTCTCTCTGTCACTATCTCGCTCTAGCTCTCTCTCTCTCTCTCTCTCTCTCTCTCTCTCTCTCTCTTTCTCTCTCTGTCACTATCTCGCTCTCTCTCTCTCTCACTATCTCGCTCTCGCTCTGTCTCTCTCTCTCTCTCTCTCTCTCTCTGTGTCGGGATTCCCGCCGTCGGTACTTTGTATTTCATTCCTGAATAATCTCGGCTAGCACACCCTCCCCCTCTACCGGTTCAGAAACCAATGCCCTAGGTGGAATTTTGGGCCTCCCGGCACGAAAAGGTCAAGTTCGCCGTGGAGCTCCTTGATAGATGGCGCTCAATCCAAACTTTCGCGCCAATCAGCCTGACGCCAAGGCGAGTGGATTGGTCATTTATCAGGAGGAGGCGGACAGAAAGACAAACAGACAGACGAACAGACAGAGTCGAAATGGCAGCACGGATTGACAGACAAACAGTTTGTCTAGCTATGCCCCCCCTGGGCCTCCTCAAGGCCATCGAGCGTCCGGCTCCCCTCACTCACGTAGTCGGACTAATTACTGTAAGATAGGATCCGAACTGCGGCTACTAAATGGTCTCTGCTAGTTTGCCTAGAGCGTTAAATTTCGAGGTAGAGTTTCCGGTAAAGAATCTCTGCTAGCTTCCCTCGGGAAGAAGGCTCCGCAAAATATCTCTGCTAGCTTACCCGGGCCAACAAAATTACCAAAAAATTTCCCAAATGACTTCTGCTATGCTAGCGCCAAGTCTAGCTAGTTTCCGCAACGAATTTTTGTTGGCTTGCCTAAAGCCCTAAAGTTACAGCTAGAATTCCCGCAAGTAATCTCTGCTAGCCTGCTCCCTGCGCGCAATTTGGCATGCATAGTCGTTCCTAAAGAGTCTCTGCCATGTTGCCGAAAGCGCTGCATTTCGGTTGAGTGGCCAGCTAGCTAGGTTCTGTCACCGAAACTTCGCGCCAAGAATCTCTGCTAGCCTGCCTCTCAAACGGCTTTAGAGCAAGACGGGTCGGGTCTTCTAAAGAGCCCTCACTAGCCCGCCAACAACCGCTGAAATTCAACACGCCAAAAGATCTCTTCCAGCTTGCCCGCCATGAATTACGATTCAAAGGTTCCGGAAGGCATGCATGAATAACATCATCCAAATTACGTCTGCGCCTCCAAGAAACCAGCCTGCCTCAGCTTGTATTTGCCTTTAACTAGAAAAAAACCAAACTTGGAGCCGTCCAAATTTACACCCCAATTGGCGCCAAAACGGCCGGCTCGCGGCCATCAATCTCCGTTGAAGATCTGACCATCCAATCTCAATCTCCGCCTGCCCTAAAACAAACAGAGAAATGACCTTTCCGGGTAGAGTTGGCGCCGGGGGGATTGAAAATTGACACGTCAAGTTGCATTTTTTGGGGGAGCTGAACAAACTGCTGTTTTTTGAAGGTCCGGCGGTAGGAAGGAAAGAAGCGGAATTTTGCCGAAATCCGTCCGCGAAGAGGCTCTGCTAGCCTGCCATTTCCTAAAGAATCTCTGCTAGCCTGCCATTCCCTAAAGAATCTCGGCTAGCCTGCCATTCCTTAAAGAATCCTTGCAAGCGTGCCCGATGCTGGCAAGCGCTCCTCCCAGATGCCTCAAAAGCTCTGTTATAGCCGCCCCGAAATTCCTTAAAAATCGTTGCTAGCTTGCCCCCAATTTCCTAAAACTTGTCGGCTAGCTTGCCCCTTGAATGCATTTCCTGAATGATCACCGCAGCCTGCCCTCGGCATTTTTTCCGGCCCTCCGTTCGATTCCTGACTTTCCAATTCCGGGCCGGTGATCCGTTTCAGGGAGGCAATTTAAAAGCTGTTAGCTAGAGAAAGAGAGAGAGAGAGAGAGAGAGAGAGAGAGAAAGAGAGAGAGCGGAATCATAGAAAAAGAGTGATTAGACAAGTCGTAAGTACCCGGGGTGCCATCTCTCATTTTGGGTATTCCTCCCCCCAGCAGCTCGTCCCATAAATAGTCTCCGGGAATGATGGCTCGACTCGTCTTCTTGTGGGTAGAGCCATAGTTAGAGAGCGAGAGGGAGAGAGAGAAAGAGAGAACGAGGGAGAGAGAAATAAAGAGAGAGGGTAGAGAAAAAGAGCAAATCACCGTTAGGATCACCTGAAATCACGCGCGGGAATTAGCCCCGGGAATGGAAGGACCGGAGGTAGTAGCTGGAAATGCTTTAGGAAAGGGCAGGCTAGCAGAGATTCTTTAGGAAATGGCAGGCTAGCAGAGATTCTTTAGGAAATGGCAGGCTAGCAGAGATTCTTTAGGAAAGGGCATGCTAGCAGAGATTCTTTTGGAATGGGCAGGCTAGAAAAGATCTGTGTTTTATTTAAAATTCCGAGAAATTCCAAGTCATTTAAATTTTCTTTTTAGCAGATTACTACGGTAAGTCTCACCTCCACATACCAATTATTCCATCTTGCTCCTCCTCTCGGTCACACCTGCCCTGCCCTCGATCCAATATGTGTTCCCGAGCACTTTTTTCGGCTCTTGCTCCTCCTCAATTCCCCCTTATGCCATTCCGCGAGATGTGTCGATAGCATCGCCACGTAGCCTCCATCAAAGAAAAGGCAACAATTTATATCGAAAGAAAACCACCTCAGGACGGCATCGTTGACTATGGTAAAAACGGAACGCTTCGTTGGGCCGAGATTCCTAGGGCAGATTACAGGGTGGTGAGGAAAGTTGGGCAAACAAGGGGGATACGGTAGGTGACGTGTCTCTCTCTCTCACTCTCTCTATCACTCTCCCACACTTTCTCAATCCCTGGCTCGCCCTCTCTCTCTCTCGCTGGCTCTCCCTAGCTATCTCTCTATCTGTCTCTCTCTGTCTCTCTCTATCTCTCTCTGTCTGTCTCTCTCGCTCTCTCGCTTTTTCTCCCTATTTATCCCTGTCTCGCTCCCTCGCTTTCTGCAAAGAACTCTGCTAGGTTGCCCAGGCCCCCAAAAAATTGCCATTGAAGCCGACAATTTTTGGTGCTCGAAATCACACTTCTGGGTGTAGACGCCAGCTAGAAAAAGTCTAGAGTTTCGGCATAAAATTGTGGCCCTCAGGTGATTTTATCTAGAGCATCTTCTCCCACCTTCCACACATAAATCTGCCCAGTTCTACCTCGCGAGTACGGTTTTGGCGATACTTTTTTTAGTAAAAAGATTCCTTTGGCGGTGGGTGCTTGCTGGAGATGTGCCTGGCCAGGCTAGCAGGGATTACTAGGGAAGCGTGTGAGCCAAGACAGCTGCACGTCCAAGAGAGGCTAGCAAAGATCCCTAGGGAGACCTGCAGACATCGGGTAAGCTAGCAGAAATCCTTAAGAAATCCTGCGCAAATGGCAAAGGCAAACTAGCAGAAAATGAAGAAAGAAAATCGTGCGCCATACAAAAAAAAATAGAGAGCAAGCTAGCAGAGATTCATTGCGGACTCGATAGGTTTTAGAGAAAGCCACCTTCAGGGCAGGCTAGCAGCGGCTCTTGAGGAACCGAAAGTACCAAAAATCTAGCAGCGATTCCTAGGGAGCAAAGCAGAAAGGCCAGGGCAAGCTAGCAGCAATTGTTTAGGAATGAGGCCTCAAAGAGGCTAGCAGTGATCATTCCGGAATTTTCAGGAATTCGGGAAGATTTAGGCAATCGAGCAGCGGTTCTTAGGGAAATGAGGCAGCCAGCGAGGTCGTGCTAGCAGTGATTCTTTAGGAATTTGAAACATAGGTATGAAAAGCTAGCAGTGGTTTTTATGGAAGCCAGATATTAGGTGAAGGGCAGCCTAGCAGAAATTCTTGTGGAAAACTTCGCTAATATCCCCTTCCCAGTCCCTTTAATGCCCCCTCTCCCCATCCAATCACCCATTACTACGACTGTTTACTATCGACACGAGCGCGTACACACATTTTCTAACGGGGAACACACCGCCGGTCCAAGGCCAGGCGAGAGAGAGCGAGAGAAGGAGAGAGAGCGATAGAGAGAGAAAATTCCTATACGGGGTCCCGGAGCGCGCAAAACCGGAGCCCCGGCGGCCCCCACCGGAAAAAAAACAAAAATTCCCCAGCCAAGCGGACGGATAGCTGATATGTTTTGAGCTATCGAAGAGGGGCTGTTGGGGAGCAGAGATTGAACGCTGTCGAATTATTGGATTTTATAAATCTTGCAAACCGCCGCAAATGGTCTCTGCTAGCCTGCCAGGCCCATTTCCTTTCCTGAAGATTCTCCGCTAGCCTGCCCCGATTAAAAGCCTTTCCCAAGGGGTGTTTGCTAGCTTGCCCCAGCGGCCGCTTACAAGGGAAGTGCACGACCGGCCCACGAGAAATCGACACGAGACATAGTGGGTCTGATAGAATCGGACACGGGGATTTCGAATCTGTAATCAGAATTTGCTAAATAAAACGGAGAAAAAAGTTATGAAGCTTCAAAGTTGGCAAAATCGCCAAAAACCGTACCTTTAAGGGCCCGTAAAAACCGGTGGAACGTAATTGAGGAGAAAAGAATTAGTGCAGCTTGTTCAGCAGAAAAAGCGCTTTAGAATGAGCTGTAATACGTAGCATTTGCAAACAATTCACTGAAAAAAGTTTTTTTTGGATTCATGGGCAAGGGTATGGCCTGTCAAGTTCATAGAAGAGATTTTCGCGAAGTCATCGTAAACTTAAAGTAAGATAGCTCATTCGAAAGCGCTTTTTCTGCTGAACAAG